AAGATTATTTGCTTACCATTTGGTTCAGTTGGTAGGTCACTTTCAACAACTAAATTATTACAATCTGATTGTATATTAGCATCATCTAAAAATAAAATAAAAGAAAATTCTTTGTTACTTATATATATTATTTCTTACAATGAAATTCTTCTTGAAGAAATATGTAAACAAGTTGGACAATGGTTTCATCATCACGTTTAAAAATTGTGATATTTTCATCAGGTTTTTGTTTATTAATCGCATATAATGGATCATAATGTTTATTTTCTTCATCATAAAGAATATAAATACATTCTGTGAATGATTCTATATGTTCACCATAATTCAAAACATTAATATTTATATTGCCTTCTAAGGTTTTTGTTATTGAAAAAACACGAATCAATAGACAACATAACATAGCCAAAGCTCGAAATTCTAATTCATCATTTTGTAAATCACCTTTCTCAATTTTATCACAATAGTCTTTAATATTTTTACAATTTGTAGCATGTTTTAAAGCTAAACAATGCAAATCCTCACGTTTGCGAATATAATCAATCACCATAGAACGTAAATATTTGTTATCAATCCTGTCCGGATATCTATTTGCAAATCGTACTGATCCATACAGAGATGAATCATTGTCATCGATTTTTTTACGGTGCAAGCTGTATATTGTTGCGGATGTCATGCCCAATGATAAGAATTAAGAATATTTGAATCACTAAAATGAAAATTATATAGAGATAATGTTATATCTACCACGCTTCTTTCTTTTCAACAAAAAAAAAATCAACTTGACATTTAACCTTGGTTGTAGACGATAAGTAAGAAAAAGAAAAAAAGGAATTTTCTTTTCGCTTCGGAAGTAGCTATAGTCGATGTTTTATTCTTTGATTTCTCCATCAAGAAAAAAAAAAGAACATAAAGTGGTGTTGAATATTTTTTTTGTGAGTCAGTTGTTAGTCAATATCTTTTACTAATCATTGATCACATGAACAAATGAATATTTTTACCTGTTTGATTTTGAATTATGTTTATCGATATTATTGACTAGTTATTCATATTAATTTGAAAATTCTTACAGTTTGTAAATAATATTTGGTCTTTTCCAAGATAAAATAAACAAAATCTATTCTAGTTAATTAATTTAATTCTACTTTAAGATGAAAACAATCGATAGATAATTGAAAGAAATTATTATAAAACAACAATGATTAATCACATTCTCATTACCCTTATGAAACAAAACCAAATATTTTTATGTTGATGTCTGGAGAAAAGAAAAGAACAAATATTATTGTAACGCTTCTATATATATAACAGAAAGAGAGAGAGAGAGAGAGATTCAAAATGCATATGTTGCCATCGTAGGACATTCGAGAATAAAATAATGATGAAATTACATCGAGATGGATTTTTCCAAGTAAAACCAATCATTCTAAATAGTGAAATACGTAGTATGCGGTAAATAAATATTATGAACAAATTGAAATATGAAATCATATAAAACCTGATTCAACAAGAATAATAACCAATCTTTTTAGAGGATATTATAGAATTTATATCTCTATTTAGTTGTTGTACATTGACATTAAAATTCATATAATATATTCTATAATTCGAGATAAAAATCAGTACATCAATTTATAACTTTGCATGCATAGTAAGTGGAAATACAGTCGTTTTCAAAATCTTAGAACGTAGACCTTTTTTATTTTCTTTAGCATATACGAGCTTGGTAACCACAAATACAAATAGTACAGGATGATCAACAACAAAAAAAACATGATTAGTTTGTATCTTTATATTTATTTAACAAATATTTTACTATGTGTTTTTTTTTCTTTTAGTCTGTGGACGTATTAATATAGAACTAGGCCACTACATTACATATTTATTCGTCATTTGTTTTGCAGTTTATGTTGGATATATAATTTAAAGTGGTGGTCTGAAGCAACCAACATGGCGAGAGCGTATCACGATTTTTTTTGGAAAGGGAAAACATCATTCTTTTAACAGAATGCGAAAAAAAGAGGTTCAGTTCTACTGGAAAAGAAAACAGGGTGTCCTAATTGAATTTCTTTATTTTCTTTTAATAGCTGTATATTATCATTTTAAAGTTAATATAATCAAAAAAAGATGTCAATGTTGATCATCTTCTAGAAGTCTAGAGAAGTGCCTCACATTTACGCAATTTCAATGAATATTAATACTTTCTTTTTTCTATTATTTGCTATACTTTTTCTGTTATAATTAAATATATTGTTTAAAATAAAAACAAATTGGTTAGTATGTTAACTTTCTCTTTTTTCTTAATTTATTCTGTTCATCAAAAAAGAAATTTCAATTTTGACCACAATATATATAAATATTGATAACTTTATCTTTATTTTTATTGATCAATTCTTTACTCTAATAAATTTTTATTGAAAATAAAGTATCAACAGATATTTTCCCAATGAAAACAATCTAGCTATTTATACTTTATTTCAAATTTCTATCAGAAAACCTGGTGACAGTGTTACTCAACTGCAGTTGTATCCTGAGTAAAAATAGTTTATGTAGCTTCTACAGAAGGTTTGCTCATCCTAAAGAGAAGATGCAATTTTGACTGAAATCTAACATTTTTCTAAGAGTGAAAAAAATATTCATGAAGTGAGATGTAAAAAGAAAGTCAAGCCGAAGAATCTTGCCTAACATCCTATTTAACCAAACGGTAAACTGCGAATAATCGTCAGTTTTCGTAACACGAATGATCAATATGAGGTCAACTTGTCGATTTGAAGCTATGACATACCCATATAGTACGAATTCAAATAAATATTTTGAACTATTATGTATTTTATTAAGGCTACAAATTGTTTGCTAAGTAAAAATATTAAAATGCTAAGTTGGCTTTTGCTAAGTAAAATGTCTATTTGCTCAGTAAAAAAATTTAATGCTAAGTAAAAATATTGAACGCTCAGTTAAAAATAAGGTTCTCAGTAAAAAAGATGTTTGCTAAGTTTGATAAATAATCGCTAAGTAAAAAATTTTTTTGCTAAGTTAATAAATCGAAATTATACTTAAAAAATTAAATCGCTAAGTAAAAATTATAATTACTAAGTAATTTCGAAGAAAAGTGAAGTATACTTATCTGAGATAAGAAGAATTTTTTATGGTGGTATGGCGTATACATTTTCACTCCTGCTTTCCTTCTGTCAACATTAAACTAGTTTCGTGAGATATGTCTATTCTGCCTACATCTTTTTTCGTTCTAAGGTTATGCGTGAATAGGTGCATATTTTCTTCGAGGATATTCTGGTACAATTATTTCTATTCGTCTCTTGTTGTTTCTTTTACATATGATCTGCACTGTTTTCTCGAGAATTATTTTCTGTTTGGCACTTTCTAGTCAGTTCTTACGCTTCCTCATTTTTGCATATATATCTGCGCCACTAAAAATTTATTTTGAATTAATAAACTATGACGAATTTTCTGGCGACACAACCATATGAGAGCTCATCGGGATCGGCTGATGAAATGAAGATCGATCAACAAGATATTCAAGAAAAGAGAACATGATTTTTCACAATATTTCGAAAAGGAATGGTTGAAAACTTTCGATTCTTGGTATGAAGGATACAATAACTTTACACCAAGTACAAATAATTCATTAGAAGCAACAAATAGGGTCATCAAAGATGAACACACATTTAGAGAACGACATCCATTATCAAGATTTTTTATAATTGCAAATGATATCGTCCATAGATGGTCCAAATCTCGCAATCAGAAACAAGCAGATCCAATCATATATTCAACAGAACCAACAATTACATTACAAGAGTGGACTAATGCCTATCATTTTGCAAAATCATCAAAATCAGCATTACAAATATCATCGAAAAGAAAAGGTTTCACTGATTACTATATGCCAGCTGGCAAAGCACAAAATGTTACAACAAATGAAATCCAGATATATAAAATGAAAAAATGGACATCGCTTGATCAATTTAAAGATTTTCAATTTAGCATATGGAGAGTAACTTTATCAGACAATGCAACGGAATGTAAAAGCGGACTTTGCAATTGTCCAAGCTTCTTCAAAGAATACATTTGCAAACATATTATGGGCATGGCTATTAGGTTGAAGTTTTGTAAACCACCTCCATCAGCAAAGGATATACCTTTGGGTGAAAAAAGAAATCGAGGACGACCACGAAAAGCAACAAAAGTTCTATTAATACAATAATTGTGCAATTAACTTTTTTACTTAGATATTTATGTCAGTTTACTTAACAAAAATTGTATATTTACCTAGAGATTTACAATATTTTACTTAAAAAATCAAAGTTTTTTACTTAGAATTTAAATAAAAAACTTAGCAAAAATACTTTTTTTATTTAGAATTTTTTTCAAAAAAATACTTAGCAAAAATTTAATTTTTTACTTAGCTTTTATTTAAAATTACTTAGCAGTTAAATAGTAGCCTTTTATTAATTCACTGTTATTCATTCACAATCAAAGATGAAAAACAAACCACCGATCAACAATTATTTCATAACAAAAAACAAATACAGTAGTTAGATTTAGTCAATACTGTATAAAAAAAAGCATTCAACAGATCTTAATCATTCTTCTATGACCAAAAATTTGATAAGACATTGTTAAAAGATAAAAATAAAATATAATATAGATTTTTGTTTGTTTTTTTTTCTTGTTCAACTTCTAATAATAAATTAATTAAATTGATGATTTACTGTCATAATTTTGTTTATCATCATCCATTTGTTTAGCCAATATTTTCTTATCATCATCATCCATTTGTTTAGCCAATACTTTCTTATCATCCTTTTTTTCTTTATCATGTTCATTATTTGAAATTTTTGAACATTCTGTTGTTGATTTTTCATGCATCAATGAACCTATAATTACATTTAATTATCAAAAGAAAAACATCTTTCTATATTTTACATACTAGTCATATCATTAAACATATCTGTTTGTGCAAGTTCTTTAATATTTATCGAATTCATATCATTACCACCTAATAGAATAATAATTATATGAAATTCTAATACATTAACTTACAACGTTTCAAAATTTGACCACTAGCATCTTCAGCAGATTTTATTCGTTTATTTGAAACTATAAATATAATTGTATGAAATTGATAAAGAAAAAATTTTCTAATTATTATTAACAAACCGTAATATTCCTTGGATATCTCTATTGGTAATTGTCTTTCATTATCTTGACCAAGGTTAATCGTATCATGTTCTAATTTGTGATTAAATAATTACAAATACAAACAAACAAAAAAATGTAGAAAATAACGAAAAAGTTATATTCTTGTTTACCATCTAATTTTCGTTTTGTTGGTTGATTTTGAAGAACCAATTCCGATACTCTTGCAGCATCATTCAAATCTAAGAATTAAAATCTAATAAAAATAAAAATAAAAATAATCTAGTTACCATTCCCTATAGATGATACTTCATTCACATCGATATTTGTCATAAAATCTAATCTAACATTGCCATCACCTACGAAAAGAAAAAAATTTTTTTTTTGTCATTTTTTACTTCATAAATATTAATTACATTTCAGGTCTTCACGGATAAAATTTGTAAGAAGTTCTTTCACTGTATCATCATTTCGTTCGAAAATTGTTTCTTGTTCATTTTCATTTTCGATGTTCACCACATACAATGGATCATAATGTCGTTGTTGTTCGTCATACAAGATACAAATAAATGTTTTTACTAATGAATTATTTTCACCATAAATTTTGGACCATACAGATTTTTTCCCATTATCCTCTCTCATCGAAATTAAATAAATAATTGTATTATATATATTAGATAGAGCTTGAAGTTCTGGATCACCACCCCATAATGTTCCTTGTTCAATTGCCGAACAATATTCATCAACCGTTCTATATGAAGTATCACCATATAGAATCGCATGATGGATCTCTTCATTGTTACGAATATAATTGGCCGTATGTATACGTAAATCTTCATTACATTCTTTGGTTAAACGCTGCTTGAATACTTTCAGAGTAGACCAGTATAAACATTTATGATCACGATGTGCATTTCCTCGAACGAATTTATGTGTTTTAGCGGATATTTTGCCCATAAATATTGGAATATTATAACTATAATATAAAACAAAATGAAGTAAAAATACTATAAAACTATACTGTCTTATATACTACCAACAGAGAATTGTGAATCCTCCTAAATCCGGATCTGAGTCAAAAAAAAAACCGTGGACCTATAAGCTCTCTAACTAAGAGTTAGAGTCCTTCATCGGACTCTGCCAAAGTCCGAGTGATTGTAAAGAATGTTTTTTTGTTGAGTTATATCAATAAAAAAAAATCAAGTAATTTTACTCTCATATAGTAACAATTTGATCCTTCATTTTTTTCTTGATAATGAACAAAAAAGACACCACTTTATAGATTCATAAGTTTCAAGAAAAAAAAAATCATCAGGAAAGTTCTGATAAAAAAAAAGATATTATTTGCTTCTGGTTTCCCGCTTAGTAATACATGTACTAGCAGAAAATACGATACCACTATCAAGCAGCGCCAATGAACTCGAGCTATCTTACACGAACCACATTAAACTTTAATATCACCCCTTCTATGAATAAAAGGATTAATTTTACCAGCGAAACTATAACAACAAATATTGAAATGATTGTAATTCAATAATTTTCGCATAAGCTTGCGCAACACATGAGTCATACGAATATATGACATGTGACGCAAGTCCTGCACAACGATAAAATATGCCACTTCCAATGAAAAAGTGTTGGTCCTGGGGCTATCTTGATCATATCTATATGATGCTCAAAAAAAAAATTTTTTTCCGAAGTTTCTCAGAACCGTAGTTGCAAGAGTGAGAATTTTCAGAATCGTATATTGTAGTTAAAAGGCGTGACTCATCAAGATTCTATTACGAGTATATGTAAGAGAAGAAAGAACAAAATTACGTCACATCTATGAAATGGAAGGACAAGAATCGATAGTGAGTTTTAATTGGATGACTAATAGAACGAAAACAAAATGAGATAGACTTTGCAAGGATGTTTAGTTCTAGAAAACATCTGTTGATCTATGCTACATCAATTAATTATAAGATTATGATATGACAATTTTCCCTAAATTGAATTTCAAATGATGTTTAGTTGTTCTATTCAACAGTATTTCTCATTAATATATAAAATTCTTGCAATCTGTAAATAACCTTTGATCTTTTCAAACATAAAATAAACAAAACTTATTCTTGTTAATTAATTTAATTCTACGTATAGATGGAAATAATCGAAAGAAACTATTATAAAATAACGATTCCTTACTTTTATGAAGCAAAACCAAATATTTTTTATGATGATGTTTTCAAAAAAAAAAAAGAACAAATGTTTTTATAAAGCCTCTATTTATATGTCTAGCAGAGAGAAAGAGAAAAAGAGATTCACATTATATTTTATGCGTCATAACAGTACATTCATGAAAAAAAATAATGATGAAGTTACCATCGAGATGGATTTTTCCAACTAGAATCAATCATTCTAAATAGTAAAATACGTAGTATGTGATAAATAAATAGTATGGACAAATTGAAATATGACATCATACACAAGGACTGATTCACCAGGATCAACATTTTAGTACTAGATTATAATACAAAGACGAGATAACAGATCTTCATTTAGATAATAAATTTTAATTGTTTTGGTTAATTTTAACAAAGCAATAATTAATAAAAATTGTTTTTTTTTTAATACAAATATGAAGCAATACTTGTTTATTCTTTATTATCCACATATACTTGATACAATATAAGAAGACAAAAAAAAAGAAAAAAAGAAACACATGATCACTGTTCACTAAACATAAGAAGATTAATTAAATATAAAAAGAACAAAAAAAAAAAAGAAAAGAAAAGGAAGAAGAAGGAGAATCTATTGTTTCCTGATCATCACGGGCTAATGGGATAGAATGAAAAAATAAATAAATAATGATGTATAGAATAGATAATTTTTATATCGTAGCAAAAATATTTAACTCGAAAAAAAAAAGAAACCGGCGTTTTCGTTATTTCAAGAGAAAAACAAAACAGAAATTCTTATTATCATCGACAAAGATCGTTAAAGCTCGAAATAGAACACAAAATAATAATTAAAAAAAAAAGAATACAAATGAAGACTTTCTTAAGATTTATCAGTTGTTATATTAATACGAAATGATGGATTTGTTGAACGTTGTGGTGATGGTTGTCCATTTGAAAGATAAAAATTTCCATTACTTTTTGATTGATGTGCTGAATTTCTAGTAAATACATGAGTTCGTGCTGAATTAAGAACAGGTAGAATAATTGAACCATTATTTCTTGATTTAGTTGTCGATGAACTATCTGATTCATATATAAAACGTGTTTCAAATGGAGTAACATATTCTTGTGGAGTTAATTGATTTATAACATTTTCAGTACTAATATTAAGTAAAGGTGAATCTCGTACAGATGCTACTCGTTGTAGACCATGATGAAGTGAAACTTCAAGATTATTTCCTGTATAATCAAGACCATCACGTTTAGGACGTGTTGGAGATGGATATAATTGACATCGACGTGGTAATGAATCTGGTTGTATAACAGCTGGTTGATGAATACATATTGAACCACTTCCTGGTAATTGTCGAATAAATGATTCATCCGTATAGTCATATATATTTCTTTGTTCATTATCATCTGCTGTTGGTGTTGTTTGAATATAACGATCAGTCATAAATGGTTGTGATTCACATTGTGTATAATGATCTAAATAAATAAGAAGTTCAGCCATAGTTGATTGATCATGCATTGAAGGTATTTCATCTTCATAATCTTCTTCTTCTTCATCATCTTCAACTTCATGTTCTATATAATTATCATAAATTATTGGTTGAATATAATATTGTTTTTGTGAATGATCATATTCTTTAGGACATGTTGAATATTTTTGTTGACAACATATTGATGGATCAAATGTTGTTGAACGTTGTGTTGTTGGTTGTTTTCTTATTCGTATACTAGGTGTTGTACCTTTTTCTTGTGTTGATCGAGGTTCATATTGTACACCTGTATGATGTTGTTTTCTCATTGCATCAAGACTTGTATCAGTTTCTTGTGAATGCATTGGTGGTCGATGACGTGGTGTAGCTGAACGTGGTCGACGAGCTGATGGTGAAGGATAATGTATACGATGCGATGAAGGTGTAGGAGTATGAGATCGATATTGTGGTGATGATTTACGAGATCGATGTGGTGGTGATAATGATGTACGTGAGCGAGGTGTTGGTATAAGTATACGATCATGTGTTGGTATAGTAATAGGACGAAGTACTATTGGTGGTGGTGGTGATGGTGGAGAATGACGACGACGTTTTTGACAATGATAATAATCTTCTGATGAAATTGGATGATCTTTAAATTGTGTACGACAACATGGTTGATAATGTCCATCATAGATATAATCACTTGTTTGTCGTGGTGATGGTGATCGATGTGGAGGATATTCATGAGGTTTTGTATCATATAAATCATAGTATACATCTCTAGGTATATGTTGTGATTGACAACATATTCTTGTACCAAGATCAGATTCATCATATGTCGGTTCAACAGGTATAGGCCGTTCTATAAATGTATAGATTGGTTTTGGTGGTTTTTTACATGTTGGAAATGATGTTTGTGTTGATGATGATTGTGGTTGTACTTCATTACCAAAATTTCGTGTTTTGATTGGATCATGCATTGTACCAACATTTCGTGTTGGTATGTCCGATTGTGTACTTTCATTAACAAGTTTCGGTTTTTTTTTATCACGATCAGACATTGAGTCAGACTCGTCGTAATCATCCGGTCGACGACCACGATGTGGTTTTGGTGTTTTGGGTGGACGTCTTCTATTTTTGTTTATTTCTTCATCCATATCAGTTGGTGGTGTTGAAGGTCGAGAAGGAATAATGTGTGAACCATTATCTATTGGAATGAGTATTGGTGGTGGTTTTGCAGCTGTATTTAAGAAAAAAAAACAGTATAAAACTATTTTAATATTAAGATTTATAATAATGATTGTGCCTACGCGTATATTACAATGTCTTATCATATATTTATTGTTTTTCTATATTGACTCTGTTTTTGTTATTATTAGTAGTCACTTTTTTTTTCCTTTTCGTGATATTTTATCATCAAAATAAGACACAAACAGTATGTTTAAAAAAAAAAGAAATAGAATGATATATCGAAAGAAATCATATGGAAACAAAAAAGAAATAAAAAAAAGAAAAGTATAATCAAGATTTTGTTTTGTAACTTAAGTTTTGTGTTTTTTCTTTCCATTGTATTTATTTTTATTTGATTTGCTATTTTTTTTGCCTCGACGAAATAATATATTAAAAAGATTTCGACGTGATTGATGAGTTTTATTTAATTTTTGAGATAAACTCGATTCATGTTCACTATTATCACTCAAATTTTCATATTCGGTTCGTTGTACAATATTAAGTGGATTTGTTTCAACTAATTTTTGAATTCTTAATGAAGATTTAGATGTAGATCGATGACTTTCTTCTTCTTCTTCTTCTTCTTCTTCATATAAAATTTCTGACGATTGATCTTTGCTTACAGTGTCCATTTTATAATTTGTAGATTTCTTTAAATTTGTATACGAATGAGTTGTTGATGAATTACTACTAGACATATGTGTCGGATTTTCAATTGGTGAAAATTGATTTATATCAATTTCATCATTATTTTCAAAATTTCTAGTTTGTTGATTAACTCTATATGTTTCAGTTTCACTACGAGAACTTTGATTTGTAAATAATGATTCTCGATTATTTATATATGGTTTTTGAAAAGATGAATTTCGATTATTCTTTGATGTATTTAATAATTCTTGACCTAGTGAAATATTATCAGTAGATGTTCCAACGTCGCGTACTTCTTGAAAAATAAGATCATCTGAGTTATTATTATTATTATAATTGACATAAGTAGTAAAAATAGATGATTCTAGTACTGTTGTTGGCTGTTCATATATTGGTATTGGTTGTTCTATTGTAGATGCTGGCTGTTCATATATTGGTATTGGTTGTTCTATTGTAGATGCTGGCTGTTCATATATTGGTATTGATTGTTCTATTGTAGATGCTGGCTGTTCATATATTGGTATTGGTTGTTCTATTGTAGGTGCTGACTGTTCTATTAATGGTGGAGTATATACTGGTTTTGGTTCTACATTACGACCAAATGATACACAGATTTCATCTTCGTTAGAATAATTTTCTTCGTTATTTGTTGGACTATATTTAGATTCTGGACCGAAATAATATATACTATTTGGTTTTATTGATGTATTATTGCTATTATTTTGATCTGAATTTGATGAAATGTCTCCATAAAAAATTGAATTATTATTTATTGGTGATAGAGTAATATTCGAAGAAGGAATAACTATTGATGAAAATTCATTATTATCAATAGATGATTGTCTATGATCATCAATATTATTTGATATTGTCGGTATATTTGAATTAAATTTTTCATTTTCTATAGAATTTGATAATAAAGTACGATTTCGTTGTTGTTGAAATAATTGGTTCGTATTATTCAATGCACGTTCTTGAACTTCAGCACTAGTTAATGTGCCTTTGTATATATATGATATTTGTTGATGTTTAGGTTCATAATTATACATCGTATGATCTTCAATTGGTTTTTCAGTTAAAATAAAATCTCCCATAATAAAAGGAGATTCTCTATTAAATCTTTCATTATTATTTTGATCAATATCTTCAGTAGATACTAGTTGATATTGATTAAATTCATTTTTATTATGATTTTGTAAAGATGAATAGAATTGTCTAAGACGATATTTTAATGGTGTTAAAGCATATTCAGCTTTCTTTTTATTTAATAGTGTTTCATTATCAGTAGATGTCCTTGAAGAATTAGTAGGTGATTGTGTACGATGTCGTAAACGATATATTTTTGGTGTTAAATATTTAACTTTATTATTCATTGAATAATCATTACTTTGATTATAATAATCACTATTCATCGTTAGTATATTTTGTGCGGATTATTTTTATGTATAATTGATATAGACATTCGATTAAGAATAGACTTATTCTGCTGCTACTGTTTTTATAAGATACCTGAAGAATAGAAATAATAAAAAAAGATAATTGGATTTTTGATTGAGCCAAGCAGATATTGATATTGATTTTTAAAGCGTATTCTAAGATCAATAACAACAACAACAACAACGGCAGTAGCAGCAGCAATAATAAACGAGTACAATTTTTTTTTATCTATGATCTACTACGATAATAAACTTACATTTATACATAAAGAAAAAGAATTCTATCAAGGTAAGATTAAACATAACATGCATTTAACATGATAAACGTATCCGCACGCAAAAGATAGATAAGAGAGGAGAAAAAAAAGAACGGCGACTATCTTGAAGAATAAATAAACTTACCAACAACTATATCTTGCCATGGAGTTTGTATATTAGGTGAATCAACACTTACAACTCGTACTTTATATCGACCAGCTAGAAAAGAAAAAAAAACCATGTTCAGATTTAATTAAATTTAATAGAATACCTACGATCTTTTATAACATAATCAGGAAAATCAACTAATGAACGACCTTGAATTGGTTCAAGATCTCGCATAAGTACTGTTCTTATATGTGGACTACTTTCAACTAAAATTTAAAAAAAAAGCATTTTATACAAAATAAAATCATAAATATATTTACGTTTTTCTTCTAATTTAACACGATCTGTTACTGCTTCATCACCAACAGCACTAAATGTTTGTAATTTTTCACCAGCCAAAACAGTCGATTGAGGTGGATTAAACCATTCAAGATAAGTTAATTTTGATGCTTAAAAAAGAAAAAAAATATTTATATGAATTAAAATCTTAGAAATTTATTTATTATAACATACATCTTAATGATTCTATTAATCGTATTAATTGATAATGATCATTCACATCCAAAATTCTGTCCTTGAAAAAAAAAAAAAATCAAAAAAAAAATTGTAATTCGACCAGTCTGAAAATGTACAGAAATCCGTGCTGAGTTAGGACGGTTTCAAGACATAAACTCTGAGAATTATGTCAAAATCACTATTTTGCTTTGCACAGACACACATTTAGACTTTTTGTTTTTACTGATAGTTATTCAATCTTAACCCAGAAGAAAAAAAAAATTCTCTTCTCTCATCCAAAGTAGTTCTTTTTCAAATGAAAGTAGCACGAATGCTACAGCTTAAAGTGTATTGAAAAAAAACATTTGCACGCATGCAAGCCTCATTTTACACCTTGATCTTTGGAAGTCTTCTCAACAATTAGGTTCGAAGCTGTGAAATATTGTTTTATTGATGTACTTCTATTAGCTAAACATTCTATGAAAGCTTTATGTAATATATTGAAAATCGATTTTGAAGGTTGGGCTCCTCGGGAATGTTTTTATTATTGTTTCAAAATATCATTTTCATTTTTTTTGTTTTTATTTTTCGTCATTGGTCTTTTTTCTTTTACTCAGCACACAGCACAATCAAAATCATTACAAAAAGCTGTTAATGCAAGATTAAAATGTGAAACATGATGATGTTCCCGTTGTTGCTAATCAAGCGAATATTGTTGAAATTGATTTATTCATAGGGAATATTGATAAAAGTATACTTGAATAATACTTACAGATGAATTTAAAATTTCATCTCGTTTTTCATCCAATGTTTCTAAATCGTTAATACCCTATTTGAAGAGAATGAGAAATATATATATATATATATATATACTTTCTTAATAATTTAATTCTTACATTAGCTAATAATGTATGAAGACTTTTTTCAAGTCCATATGCTCGAAGTGCCTCTACGAGACGCATATCAACACCAAAAAATCCAATACCTTGTATACGAATATCATTACCACCATAATTATCCAATATAAATACACGAATAAAACGAGTTTTTACTGGTATGAAAAAGATATCATTCTTATTGCCTTCTATTTAAAAAAAAAAGGAAAAGAAAACCGCATATAGTATTATTTATTAATACAAATCAAAGTACATACGAGATAATGGACAAGTAAAATCTTTAACTTTTAACCATGGACCATTAAAAGCATTTGATACATCAATATGACCATTTCTTGGTGTCGATTGACTATCACTAAAGAAAAAATAAATCATCAAAATAATAATTTATTGAAGATTTTTTTCCTACCATCCAATAATTCTCATTCCACTAATATTATGTTGATGTTTTAAATCAAAAATAACCCAAGCACCTCTATTCTGTATAGAACACCAATATGATCCACTTGAAGCTAGAAAAATTATTATTGAAAAAATATCAAAAAATAATATTAAACAATTTGTTTTTTTTTTTACTATCAAGAAGATTTTGTACAGATGAATGTATATCAGTTTGACTTCGAAATTCTTCACTATCTAATGTCCAATTTGGACGACTGCGAAGTAATGGATGAACATACGGAATAATATTTACTTGAACAAAAAAAGAACAAATTTAAATCATTAAAATTAATTAAATTAAAAAGTTATAAACATGCAATATGAATAGCAATAGCAGTGATAATAACGAAAACAAAAAAAAAATCATACATAACCAGTGCAAAGACTATAAAATAAAATGACATGCTGATGCATCAGATGTAGGACACTTACTGATTAAAATACATGTTTAATAAAGGCTAAAAGTCAGATTTGTTAGTTTGATTTTTAAATCACACAAAAACACACAAATGAAAAAAAAAAGAAGATTTCTTCTTTTTTTTTTTAAATATTATACCTTGCATTGTTCCAGTTATAATTCTATGGAAATCTGATGGTTCAACTCTTGATGTATCTAAATAAAAATAACAAATCTCTTTTATTGATTGATGTCTAGTTTTTTTAAAATTTTGATAAAAATCAATTTTCTTTTATAAAGAAGAAGAATAAAAAGATCGTGATATACAAAGATGTGACAATCAAAATCAAAAATAATAAGAAGCAGAAGTTCACACAAATATATTCATGTGTCTGTTTTTTTTTTTGCACACCTCTGTTTATTGTTGACATTGTATCTGTAGTTGCATTTACATTTAGCATTGTTAACGATGAAGGTATGGCTTTTGTAGGTAATTTTACTCTCTTTCTCTCTTCATTCATATCAGATTCTATAGATAAGATTAATTAGGATGAGGGATATATATATATATATTCTTTTTAGTCTTATTGTCTAAAACAATGAAGAACAAAAAAACCCCCCATCTTGAAAAATATACTTACGAATAAGTGTATTGATAAATAATTGTTTTTGATCAGGTTGTAAATATTCAGCTAAGCCTATTGGTGTTTCTCCACGATTATTTATCATATTTGGATCGGCACCATAAGAAACCAAAAGACGAGCAGTAGATAATTTTAATGAACGAACTCTGAATAAAGAAAATTATTTAATTGAATTAATTTTTCTTTTTTTTTTTTGTTAACATACGCAACATGAAGTGGTGTTGTACGTGTTCGATCGCTTATATTTGGATCCAGACCAAAATCAAGTAAAATTTCCAGACATTTATCATGACCTGAGACAAAAAAAAATTAGGATAAACTTGTTAGCACAGTCTCTTGGGACTAAAATATTCTTATATCGTACAAATCGCTGGATAACCATTCGCAGATATTTCTAGGATCGGAAGGTGAGAGCGCGACTACTGAGAAGATAGGGCATCTATCATTTCGAAATGAGAAAAAATGTTTACCGAGATCTTGAGAACGTAATGAGTGCAAATCTGAAATTCGTTTTTTCAAAAACTCGATCTCTTTCGAGAGTTATACAATATGTGAAAAACGATAATTAAGGCCACCTCCCCCCCCCCCCTCCTCAAAAAAGTCACTTTTCGTCAAAATGATCGAAATTGAGATAACCTCATGGAGATATAGCTCGTCAAATGCTCTTTCATAAATGACAAAAGCTTTTACTCAACACCTCTTTTCTTCCGAAAATTCTGGAAGATTTTTGCCACCCGCTATTCGAAAAATAAGCGGTTTTTACAAAAAACCAAAAATCATTTTTCGTTTTTCTCAGAACGTGGGTTCAACAACGTATCTCCAGCAGAACTCCATCACAGTAAGAGATAAAGCCAAATATTTTTTTTTGTTTGAAAGTTTATGTGCAGAGCTAGCGACTCTCGTGGCTCTTTTTTTAAAATAAGCTTTTTTATTATCATAGAAGATAACATCTCTGTCGGGGCAGCGCAATTTTTAGAGAGGTTTTTTGAGTCATTGAACTTTCGTTCCGGTTTTTTCCTCTAAAAAGTAAGACTTTTCAAAAAAAAGGGCCACGAGAGTCGCTGCATTCTGACATGCTCTTTCAAACAAAAAACAAATTAAATATCTAGAATGAAGACCGACAGAGAAAACTTGGAGATACTAAAGAGCTATTTTTGCCCCTTGTTTGGTGCATATCTCGGTTAAACATCGTGCTATATGGCTGAAAATTTGACTATAGCCATGTCTCACCAGCCCCAATATATCCTGAAATTTTCATGTCATTTGAATGTTCCTGGGCTGAGATCGATTTGGGGGGGGGGGGGTGGCCTTAAAAAATTTGGGATCATCCCATAGGACTCTATTCAAAATACTTCGTAAGACTTCAAGACTGAAGTTTCTATTGCTTCTGTCTTGGTATGTCCTCTCCACTTGTGACCGTTAGATTAACTGCAGTTGTTCTACTTGATGTTTTTTTTTTCTATCTCATTGTATGAATATTTTTAAACTTCTTAGAGCAGTGTTACATTTTCAGCCCATCCGGTCTATATGATAGATTTGGGCGTATTGCATGAATGTATAGAAAATAAACGTATAAAAAGAGCCTATAGAAAAGAAAATGTCATAACTAAAATATGATTTTATTTGAGATTTAGACATATTTTAGGTTTCTTTCAGAAAAAATTTCTTATTTTTTTTTCTTTTATCAACCTTTCTCAAAGAAATCATAAAGTAATAGATACAATAAAATTGTTATCGCTGCTTTAAGGTATAAAATGTTGATTGATTTATGTACGAAAACAACTTCTCTCTTTGATCTTAAAATTTCAACCAATGTTATTCGCTATGTTTATCTCTTATTTTTGTCTGTGTAACCTACGATTGATTTATACCTGTAGTTGCTATGAAAACGTACTTAATAAGCTTGAACTTTCGATTACTAAGGTCTGTAATAGCGGGAGAAAGAAGGGTGAGATTATTTTTTTCGAAAATGTATGTGAATTCCACAAAAAAAAATAAAACTTACCAAGACGTGCGCCAATAATTGCTGCTCGATAAGCTCGTTGTACTAATGTTCGATCGTGAGAAAGTAAAACACCAACAATTTCTATTGCATAGAAAAAAAAAAAGAAACAAATGAATTAATATACTCAAACTTTTAATTTTATACCTGGTTTATTAACCATAACAGCTTCATCAAGTGGTATTCGTTGATTACGATCTTCTAATGTTGGATCAGCACCAGCCTTAATAATGAATAATTATTTTAATATATGAATGAATTTAAAATCTCTATAGATCTTCGAATTCTTTTTTTTTTTGTTTGTTCAGTATGATCGATAATCCGAATTCCAATAGCTGATTATTGAGAAAACGATTGATCATTTGAAAAGTAGTGATTTTCAGATCATAAAAAATTTTTTGAAAATTAATTTTTGATATTAACTTCTTTTAAAAGAAATTCTGAATAAAATAATTATAGAAAACTTGGCGATATTTCATTTTATTGTTCTTTAACATGTTACTCTTAAAATCTAATTTTTAACAAAATTTTCTATCACTTAAAAATCATCGTTTTGAATGTTTCTTAGGAACTTTGCCTTTCGTAGTTTATCTAGAAAATTTTCGTATGGCTTGATATTTTTTCTAGAAAAAAAAAAACCTATAACATTTTTATCATCCTTTATACTTTTCTTTTTAATCAATAATTTGACTTTTGTTTGAGAAAGTATATGAAATAAATTTTATTCTATAGTCTGTAACATTTGACAATAAGAAATTTTACAATATTTAGAATTTTATTCGATATTCAAAATTAACTATATTCATGATTACATCTAATAATAGTAAATATTCAATTGAGTCTTTCAAATATTGAATATTATAAAATAGAACTATTGCTTTTCTATTCGATATTCATAATACTATATCGAGTCTACTCAACATACCAATGTAATTATAATTGACGTAATAAATCTCATTTCATAATAAAGAAAAAAAGAAAATAATTTACTAAATTATTTCATATTTACTTACATGAAGTAATGCTCGTACATGATTTGCATTTTCATCAATATATGAAACAACAGCACGATGTAATGCTGTTTTGCCTGATTGATTATAAATATTTGGATTAGCATGATATTTTAAAAGTAAATCAACAATATGATATTTTTGACGATGAACAGCCAAATTTAATGCTGTATCACTTTAAAAATAAAAATAAAAAATTGACGAAATTGTATTCAATTATACAGTCTCGGACAATAGTAGCTGCCTAGTATGAAAGGCTACCATTCTTTAGGATATTTTGAGCACTTATCCATCTTCTCTATGGATTCACACGTACTAGAGTTATGATTCAACTATCATCTTCCTCTTGTGATGATCTTTATTAGCATAAATATTTTCATTCAAATCTCTCATTCACTAGGCCACTGTCGTGACTATCTCTAGTCCGAATTTGATTAAAAATAACAATGAATTTGTCTAATTCTTTTAAAAATTTTTCATAAGACGATAAATCTGTTCTCAAATTTCTAAAATCACAATACTAAATGTAATCAAGTTAGCACTACGACATAGGTTCAATATCTTCATACATGCTAATTACTCATTTCGACGACTATCTTTAGCGCCAGAAAAAAAACAAACTTTTGTAGTAGCTTGTAGACTGATCAAATAACAAACAAAACTTTTTGAGTGTATATTTTTGTCGACTATGTTTTTTCCTCAGGGAAAGAACACGTATGAATCATAACATCAGTGTATGTAATCCGATGAAGGACGAGTTGCTGCCGAGTTTATTATCGTACATTTGCATTCAAAATATCAGTTCAATATCGTAAAGAATAGTAACACTTTATAAGGAGAGGCGGCTGCTATACTTTTATTAAAAACTCTATATGCAAAATTTTCACATAAAATCGATGAAAATTTTTTTTTGTTAACTAACCCTGTTGAACATTGTTGATTTGGATTAGCACCATGTACAAGAAGAATTTTAGTTTTTTCATAAGAACCTTTACCAGCAGCAATAATTAATGGTGTAACATTATATCGTGTTGCTGTACAATCAATAAAATCAATTTGATAATCAATAACACCATCATATCCTATAACTTCTGAAAGATTTCGAAATGGTCTTCGATGAAATTGTTGTAAAAAATTCTTAAAGAAAATTTTTTATTTTATTATCTTATATAACAAAAGAAAACTTACAAATAATTGTTCCGCACTGCCTCGGTCAACGATGGTCAACAGTTGCTGACGCCGCTGTTGATCCTCGTGCCGATACTCCATGATAATATTATCTAAAACAAAAAAAGAACACAAAAAAATGTTTTTTTTTTTTTTCTTTTTATTTTAATTTATGAATAACAGGATATAGATGTTTATAGAATAATTTTAATAAAGATAAACGTGGAAGAAGTTTAACAAAAAGTGGTAACATTGACATATCACCATTAACATTTATCATTAAAGTTAAATAATAAATCAAACGTTGCTAATCAAATATAAAAACAAAATTAAATTAAATTCAAAGAAAACAAACTACATACTGAAAGAAAACCTTCATTTATTAAAATATCTTTTATTCGATTTGAACTAATAAAAATTGTTGTTTGTCTTCCAATTACATAAGTTGTTGTCAATTGTAAACCCATTTGATTTCCAACAATAACACATTCTATTTAGAAAAAAAAAATACACATCCATCATATTTAATTAATAAAATTTTCCTACCACGTTTTACTTTTAAATAAGCTTTTATTATCACACCTATTAATAAAATAATCGATAAAAATAATAATAAACTACTATCCTAAAATAGAACATTTTTGTTTTATAAATAATGAAAGAAAAATATTTCATCTTTTTTTTTTTTACATTTTTATGAACTCCAATAAGAGCTGCTAAATAAGTTAAAATAATTGTTAAACCAATCCATTTTTGTAGATGTATAATACGTCGTTCTAATCGACATTCAGTAATTAAATTATTTTCATGCTGTATTATTTCATAATCAAGTAATTCACCATAAATATTTTCACATGTTCCACCGCTGAATTTCATCTAGAAAATTGATCATACATTTGTTGTTATTGTTATTGTTCTTGTTGTTGTTGTTGTTTCTTCTTCTTTTTTTTATTTCTATATTTTTTTAATTCTCTTTTCGATTTCTATAGGACAGGTATATTTTTTAAAGGAGAAGAAATCCCAAATTTTTTTTTCTTGTCCTTTTCAAAATCAAATTTTATTTTGTTAGAAAAGAAAAAAAAAAGACTTTGTTTTTTCTAGACATAGTCAAGCAAATTCGAGTACACCGTTTTTTTTCTTAGCAAAAAACAAAAAAAGAAAGGAATACTTGAAGTATAGATTGTTTTCTTCTACCATGTGATAATTGATTAACCACTATTCAATACAAATAAATAGCTTTTTATGAAGATCTATAGGTGATTCGAATATAAGAAAGTGAAGAAGAAAAAAAAAAAAGAAACGAGAGTGGTTCGATTTGTTAAAATAAACTTTTCTTTTATGTCTTAGTTCTCAAATCAATACTTAATTTTCTAATTCATCTAAAACTCAAAGATTTATCCATACTTCATATATCAGAATCAATCACATACAAGGCTTCTTAAATAGTATTGGCAAGTAAAAAAAAAAAAAAAAAGACATTCATCTTACCGATAAACTAATAAAACAGCACACTTGTTATTTCAAAAAAAATAAAAATAAAAATAAAAATCATTTAAAAAATGTAAATTTTTACCTATTCATTTAAATATGAGAATCATAATATTCAAACACCTACTGTATTTATCAATATAAATATATATCAAACGAAATCTATTACCTTAAGTAGGCGAATCTAATCGTATTGATTTCATACGAGATCAAATAATTTTTTCACGACAACGAATCATTTCTAAATAAAATGATTCAGTTGGAATGTAATGTCAAAATTTTTATTTGCGTAGGAGTGTGGTGGTTAGAAAAAAAAACCGCAAATGATTTATGCTACCTGAATTGATTCAATACTTGTCAAAACACCTACGATCATTTTAATTTCTTATAGAATTACGAAAAAAAAAGAAAAAGACAAGAATCTTCATTTAACTAATCTTATTGTCAATTTAACTGGATTTAGTTTTTATACAACTACTATATACTATTGTTTTTTTCTCTTATCTCAACACTCAACTTTGAAAATATTTATTGCACTTTAAAAACAAAAAAAGAAATAAATAATATACATCTTAATAAAAAAAGAAAAAAAGAATTTTTTGTTTTGTTTGATGAAATAAAAGAATATTCGAAATAGTTAATTTTACCCAAAAAGAAAAATATGGTTGAACAAATTCACATAAAACAAAAAATAAAGAAAGGAAAACTTAACAAACGTGAACTGATGGAGACTGAATGTAAGAAAAAAAAAAACAACAATTTTTTTTTTTTTTTTCATAATGGAGTACATTTACTGTTGACACGACTAAGTTGTAATAACAACAGAAAGAAGAAGAAAAGAAAAAAGAACAACAATAACAAACTGACCGTAGAATTATACCTTGTATAATTGTGGTAAATCGACATTGTATTATCAAAAAGTAAAATATGAAAATTAATATTTGTTATTTTCGGACATGAAATCTATTCTTCTGTATTTTCTTCACCTTGTCATAACAGATCCAATTTCGAAGGTCGCTTATGCCTCTCTCTCTCTCTCTTTGTGCCGTTTTTTTTTCTCTTCTCATAATATGTACAATTTTGCGGTTTGTCCCTCATCAGCTTTTTTTTTTACGCATACTCGCGCTCACATCGCTTTAGGCAGGAAAAAGAAAAGCCGTGTTATTTTTACTTCTGCTTGTCTACTCTTTTCTTTTCTGCTTCCTTTCAAACATTCTTTTATCGAAAACGACGATGGCAATGAAAAAGCAAAGAAAAAAAAAAAAAGAAAAAAAATCGACTGAATTTCAAGTTCTGTCATTCAGTAACGAATGGTTGACTGCTTAGCTCACGGCAGCAGAGTGATGAAGATGGATAAACGTCGAACAAACGAGTTGGCTGATACACAAAGTCAACATATCTCGAAATGGTAAATAGAAGGAAGAAAAGAAGCCCGAAATAAGAGCGAAACAGATTTGTCAACTTACTTTACAAAAGCGAATAGTAAAAGAAAGAGAGAGAGCGAGAGAGAGAGAGAGAGAGAAGAAAGATCTCTGTGTGGTTTCAATTTACAATTAAGCCTGCCTTACTTTACTGTCATTGATTGATGAAGGCGACAACTTCGTTTTTCTTTTTCACAAGAAAACAGAAAGCAAGAAAAAAAGAAAAATTTTCAAGTATATAAAGAATAAAAAAAAAAATATCTCTTGTCTACTTAATAGTTATGTTATTCGATTTAATCTCTTATTTAAATCGTCAACCACATATATAAATATATTTCGTATTCATTTTTCATGTCTACATCTTAAATGAAAGATTCATATCAATATTTGATAAAATATGAGCATCGTTTCTAATTTTATAAATATAAAAAAAAAAAAGAAAAAATGATCAATTTTTTATCTTTTAGTGAAATATATAATAATAACAACAAAAGATACACAACAACAACAAACAAAAAAAAAAGAAAATTATGTATTTAATCCATATTTAGCTTGTGTTTTAGTTAATTTTTCTTTTTCTTTATCTAAATTCATTTTATCAAATGCTTTTGTTGCTTGATAATAAAGTACAACTAAATAACGATTACAAACATTAAAACCAGATAAATGATCACATGCATTTTTTGCATCAAATATATCTTCATAAACAACAAATGCAGTACCTATAGAAGAAACAAATGAATATAAAGATTAGAATTTTTGAAAGATAAAAAAAGAAAGATTTTCTTTACCACGTGTATCAGGTGTATTTCCAATACGAATTTGACGAATAGCTCCATATTTACCAAATATATCGTACATTTCTTCACCTGAAATTTTATATGGAAGATTACGTACGTATAATACACGATTTATTTCCGGTGGTAAACGAAGATTAGCTCGTTTTTGCATAGCCATTTTGTTGATTTAAATAATAACAACAACAACAAAAATATACAATATTAATATCTAAAAATATTATTCTTATAAACGATAGGTAAAGTCATAAATATTTCGTTTTTTCCTTTTTTTTTTGACTACCGTTAATCGGATTTTTATTTCAATAAAATTATATTATAATAATAAATTACTTGAAATTCTTGCTTTGATCTTAAGTTATATATCAAACAACAAAGAATATAAATGTTAAAAGATTGAATAAATGAGGTAGGTTGTTAAACGATAAAATTGATAACCTCTCGGAATTGAGTTTCTTATTTTTCTAATAGTCAATTTAAATGACAAACAACAATTTTTTTATTTTTGTTCGTTTCCTGTCAAGGTTATGTCAAACAAAAAAAAAAAAAAATCTAAAGGCAGTTAAAATTGTAGTTTGATTGTGAAAAATCGCTTCTCAATGTTTTTTGACTAATTTTATTGTTTAATGTAACCCTCAGGAGGAAAAATGGATCTGAATTTTTGAACAAAAATAAAAATTGTTGTGTGTTATCTAAATTAAATATTAATCAAATAAGAAATTGATTTCATCGTTGAACAACTACCTATCATCTTTTAATAATCCTTGAGAATAATTATTATGAATTTCTTGTATTGACAATAGTTTCAAAATAGAAAAACTAATAATAACGGTAAAAGCAAGCACATACTATAGAGTTTGTTGTTTTTTTTTGTTCGTGGAAGGGGAAGGCGAACATCATGAAGAAAAAAAAGAAGGTATTTTTTGGCTTGTGAAGACTAGTCAATTTGTATTGTACCCCCTGGTGTTTAAATCTTTATAGAAGAGATCGAGCCCACCCTCTGAGTATGTCTATCATTACAAATTCGTTCTTTTCAATGATGTTGTTCTTCAAGTTTATTTGACATACATTTTATAATGTTGAACGTAGAATAAACATAACAAAAAAAAACAAAATTCAATAGTATATATCAAAGATGGAACCAGTCGGTGTGAAATCTATATTGACACTGGACTGACGAATTGTCCTACTATTCCATCCGTTTGTGGTTATATTGAGCTCGCAGGTAGGTCTCAATGAGAATAGCAACAGCCTAAAGCGCTGCGTCTCTATTGACCTTCAACGTCGAGTTATGACTGATTTGCTGGATTTTTGATCGAAAAACTTGCCTGTAGATAGATCTAATGACTGTCAGAATATTCAGAAAGTTTCAACCGAAATGAATATTACTTCATCGATTTATTGATATTTCAAATGCATTCAATTTTTATAACAAAGAACTATTTTTGAAAATTCAATATCTTGTCATTAGACTTAATCAAAATTCTATCATTACTACTTACGAATAAATCGAAAATCCACTAAACCAATCATAACTCGGCAACTAAGGCCTATAGAGATGAACCCTTTTAGACTCTTCCTAATCTCATTGAGATCCATCTGTAGATTCAATATAACCTCAAACGGCGACCATTATTGGGAGTAGTTCTCTCGTAAGAGCAAAAACACGCCGGTAACCGATACCATCTCTAGCATACAGTCGGAAACAAAATTCTAAGTGAAATTAGTTTTTCACTATCCTTTTTTTTTTCATATTACGAAGTGCCGATTTGATTCAAATGATGATATAGATTTTTTATAATTAAAATATTTCTTTTGTTCCATACAAAAATAGATTTAAGTGCTTTCTACTATTTCGCATTTCCTAACCAAGAGAGTTTTTTTTTTAAATGAAAAAAATACTTAGGTCAGTCGAAAAGTAGTAGTGGCGGAGGTATGTCAGTTTCTTATAGAAAGCTCTATTTTTCTATGCTATTTGATCATACTTTAACTAATATCATCCTAATCAATTTTTAATAAGACTTTTCATCAATATTTTTCTCATTGTAAGTTGTACATCGTAGTTTTCAATTCCTTATTCGTTATATGAAGGCCTCCCCCTCAAAAATCGATCTCAGCCCAGGAAAGTTCAAATGGGCTGAAGTGCGGAGGCTGTGGTAAAATTTTCAGC